GTCTTTTAAAGAGAGGTTCTATTGTATTAATATATAGCAGTACAGTAGAACAGTCTCTCTATAAGGGACGATACTTAATTGCATAGCTAAAGTGTCCTATTATCAGAAAGATGTCAAATGGTAAAAATGGTAATGTTGGTGATGAAAACTCCTTTGTAGAGAGGTGTTCTCTAGTATGAGTGTTCTTCTATGGAGGTTGTTCTACTGGAGTAGTAAAAATAGCAATAAAGATGATAGATGAAATTATTAATATGGCATCATTTTATAACTCCAAACTGTATAAATTGGTTTGTTTTGGGGCTAATTTGAAATGGACTTTGAAGAGTAGCTCCAGCTACTATATACATTGTCAAGGATTATTCAGGAGTGTTGGTGGAGACCCAACCACATCATCACTTGAGACAAAGAATTTCTGTTGTTGTAGCTACAGTTATGGACTTAAAACTTGGGATTCTAGAATTAGAAAGTACTAAACCAAGTTGCTGACATAAAGAAGGCAGTTTGAGGAGGTTCCTCTGTATATATCCCCCCTAAAGAGCTTTAAAAGATCCAAGTTATCATGGTACTCACCTCCTGGCTAGCAAGTCCTTGAGACAGAATTGAAAGGACCGACCAGTGGTTATCTCCATCGGAAGATATCGCCCAGCGGCCTGAGTCTATCTAAGGTCATCAGATAGACCGCCGGCTAGTCGGCCTTTTCTTTGTGCGCTATGGACCAAGAAGGGACGACATCGGAGCCTGCTCCTCTAACGATGGAGCCCTGTTCCAGCTCCCAAGCTGATGGACCACCAGAGTCCACAGGAGAAGAAACTACAGTAGAAATCTCTAGTCCTGGTGAGTCCATGATTGACTGAAATTATGGGTGATTTTTCCCCGGAAGTTCTGAGCTAACTGACCCGGGGTTTCAAACACCAAGTCCAGACTCTTTTAATTCCATCCCAAAGTGGATTGTATCCTGTAGAGTTTGTATGATACAGTTTATATAACAGCAACTTGGTGATAGCATCATACAGTAAAACCTCGCTATAGTGGCATGTGGAATATTGTTCAGCCATTGTTGATTGGATTTAAAAAGCTCATCAAGAGAGCTTGTAGAAGGCGGTGTAATTTACTGACCTTTTGGCTCACTCTAGCCATGATTCACTCTAATTGAACCTCACTATAACAACATTACTTGGGACCAAGATTTCATGTTGTTATAACCAACTAAATCTGTAAACCAACTCCTAGCCAACAGCTCTGTCACAGTGAAATGGCTTCCAGCTCATGTTGGAATTCCTGGAAATGAGCTAGCAGACTCTCTGACAAAGTCTGAAGCTTTTGGCCACCCTGAGGCCAGAAAATATACCACCCAACTAGACGAAAGAGACCTCCTCTGTGCCATCAAGATCTAATGCCTGCAGGAATGGAAATCTAATGCTGCACATGACTGGTACAGAGCAGGAAAGACAAGCACCAGTTCTGTCCTCCCAAGAGAACAACAGTCTTTGATTTCCAGACTTAAGTCTGGTCATCTACGGACAATGACTTTCCAGAATGGTTGCAAGGTTTTCCCATTATGTACTAAGTGTCAACCTGCAACCCCAAACCACATCATTGACTGTATAGGCTCATCCATTGATGAGTTCTGCTTATCCCCAGCAGACACCATCAACAAGCTCTACAAGCTTTATACCCTGATATGATTGAGTGGAGATAAGAAAGAAGTTATTGTAGTCAGAGTTTAGACAATTGGAACTTAAAACTTGGGACTTTAGGATGCTATAACCTGGTTGAGGCTGTTATAAAACACAATAAATGGCTTCAATTGAGGATTGTTTTAAGTTTGTTATAAGGGGGAGAAGGTTCGCTAAAGTCCCGGTTCATTTTTTGGGAAGTTTTAATGTTTTAAGTTCAATAGGTTTTTAACTGTGGGTATATAACACCATGGTGATATCATGGTCCCAAGAGATGTTTAATTAGTTTGTCATTTTGGTTGGGAATGTGTTGAATCCCAAGGTATAACAAGACCAAATTCAAGTGAGTAATAGATATATGATGTTTAATTAGTTTGTCATTTTGGTTGGGAATGTGTTGAATCCCAAGGTATAACAAGACCAAATTCAAGTGAGTAATAGATATATGATGTTTAATTAGTTTGTCATTTTGGTTGGGAATGTGTTGAATCCCAAGGTATAACAAGACCAAATACAAGTGAGTAATAGATATATGATGTTTAATTAGTTTGTCATTTTGGTTGGGAATGTGTTGAATCCCAAGGTATAACAAGACCAAATTCAAGTGAGTAATAGATATATGATGTTTAATTAGTTTGTCATTTTGGTTGGGAATGTGTTGAATCCCAAGGTATAACAAGACCAAATTCAAGTGAGTAATAGATATATGATGTTTAATTAGTTTGTCATTTTGGTTGGGAATGTGTTGAATCCCAAGGTATAACAAGACCAAATTCAAGTGAGTAATAGATATATGATGTTTAATTAGTTTGTCATTTTGGTTGGGAATGTGTTGAATCCCAAGGTATAACAAGACCAAATTCAAGTGAGTAATAGATATATGATGTTTAATTAGTTTGTCATTTTGGTTGGGAATGTGTTGAATCCCAAGGTATAACAAGACCAAATTCAAGTGAGTAATAGATATATGATGTTTAATTAGTTTGTCATTTTGGTTGGGAATGTGTTGAATCCCAAGGTATAACAAGACCAAATTCAAGTGAGTAATAGATATATGATGTTTAATTAGTTTGTCATTTTGGTTGGGAATGTGTTGAATCCCAAGGTATAACAAGACCAAATTCAAGTGAGTAATAGATATATGATGTTTAATTAGTTTGTCATTTTGGTTGGGAATGTGTTGAATCCCAAGGTATAACAAGACCAAATTCAAGTGAGTAATAGATATATGATGTTTAATTAGTTTGTCATTTTGGTTGGGAATGTGTTGAATCCCAAGGTATAACAAGACCAAATTCAAGTGAGTAATAGATATATGATGTTTAATTAGTTTGTCATTTTGGTTGGGAATGTGTTGAATCCCAAGGTATAACAAGACCAAATACAAGTGAGTAATAGATATATGATGTTTAATTAGTTTGTCATTTTGGTTGGGAATGTGTTGAATCCCAAGGTATAACAAGACCAAATTCAAGTGAGTAATAGATATATGATGTTTAATTAGTTTGTCATTTTGGTTGGGAATGTGTTGAATCCCAAGGTATAACAAGACCAAATTCAAGTGAGTAATAGATATATGATGTTTAATTAGTTTGTCATTTTGGTTGGGAATGTGTTGAATCCCAAGGTATAACAAGACCAAATTCAAGTGAGTAATAGATATATGATGTTTAATTAGTTTGTCATTTTGGTTGGGAATGTGTTGAATCCCAAGGTATAACAAGACCAAATACAAGTGAGTAATAGATATATGATGTTTAATTAGTTTGTCATTTTGGTTGGGAATGTGTTGAATCCCAAGGTATAACAAGACCAAATTCAAGTGAGTAATAGATATATGATGTTTAATTAGTTTGTCATTTTGGTTGGGAATGTGTTGAATCCCAAGGTATAACAAGACCAAATTCAAGTGAGTAATAGATATATGATGTTTAATTAGTTTGTCATTTTGGTTGGGAATGTGTTGAATCCCAAGGTATAACAAGACCAAATTCAAGTGAGTAATAGATATATGATGTTTAAAAAATAAAGTTCACCACTTCTGTCAAAATAGATGCTAAAACTAAGCATTGACAGTCTCTGCAAATTAGAGAACTCAGGTCAATGACAAAGCCACAACACCAGCTTTGGCAAACTGAGAAGCATCTACCTGGAAACCATGGTTTTGGGCTATTGACCCTCATCAGTCCAGAGAGAACTATGATTTCATGAGATCCACAAGGGATCAAATTAAAACTTCACAATCTGCCAAAGAGGTGTTTAGCTGGTAGAGTGGCTGGGCCAAAATCCGGACCTATATATAATGGCATTATGGTAACAATGTTGTGTGTTCCTATCTTCCGCCAAAAGTACTGGATGATAAAACCTACCTACCTCACCAACTGTCAATCATGGCCTAACATGTCAGACATTATGAATCCAAATGCTATACATCTGATTCCTTCCAGGCTTTTTTTTATGATATGTTTTCTTATTCAGAGCATTTTTGTCTGAAGATGGTATCAATGTTATTACCAAAATGTCACTATGCAGACTCCATGAGAGGACACTCTGCTAGAAGACATCTCTATATAAAGGACAGTTTTCTTCATCAAAATGACCAATTTTACTAATTAGCAATTCTCCAATATAAGAAGACATTGCTCTCCACAAAGTAAACCTTGGCTCTGTAACTGTCATTCACAGAGAGGTACTGTAATTTACTTATTTTCTCTTGTTACCTTGTGATTCTCACCTCAAATTGTCAATAAATATGGTGTGGAGACAATTTTTCTACCATCCATACTGCAATGATAAAAATTAATGGGGGAGCCTGGCTCATCAGTGGTCTTCTTCTTCTTTATTATCTCAAAGCCATAACCATAGTGGGTAGAAGTAGACGACTGCTTTTACTGTAAGTGCACCACATGTCTACACATGTTAAAAAAGCAGTTCGACTTTGCACTTACAAATGTGCCAGAGCCCCGTTTGGTTACTTGCACTCGCTGGTGGGGTTGGTCATCAGTGGTGAACCCTTCCAGCTCTTTAGCCAGTTTAATCTACCATACCACTCTATTATTATATTTTGGATATGGTAAGGCATATGGTTTTTTTTTTGCTTATCCCTAGTACACGTGGTACAGGCCATGATAATCATGGTGGGTAGTTAGCGACTGCTTTTTACTGTAAGCGCACCACATGTCTACACATGTGAAAGCAGTTCGACTTTGCACTTACAAATGTGCCAGAGCCCCGTTTGGTTACTTGCATTCGCTGGTGGGGTTGGACTTTTGCAAGAATCGGGGGGGCCATTGGAGCATTTTTTTTTTTTTAAACAGAAAAAAGTGTCCAATGCGGGGATCGAACCCGGGTCGTAGTGGTCGTAAACCAAACGGTTTAACCAGCCTTCCCGCATATGGTAAATTAAACAAGTGAAACCTTTTGGAAGGTTCGCCACTGATGAGCCAGGCCCTCCCATTATTTTCATCATTGCAGTAAGGATGGTAGAAATATGTTTCATTTAAAAGAATCCTACGATTTACAAATAACTCAAATTTCCTCTAACAGATGGCATGCAACATGTGTTTAATTGAACCTGCTCTCTGGCTACATTAGTTTTAAACACATTCTGCAGCCACCTCTACTGTGAAGGGAGAAAAAGTTCTCATCATTCATAAATGTCACCTCTCTTGTCAAAATAGACACTAGAACTGAGCGCCATCTATTGACCGTCTACACAAACTAGCAAACTCAGGTTGGAATTAACACCATAACACCAGCTTAGAATGATAAAGCACAATTTGGATTATAGATTATAATACAAGAAAATAAAACCTAATCCAAATAATTTATTAGTGTGTGACGTTTCAGCAACAACATTGTCACCATCATCAGACAAAAGAATAAAATCATTTTTATTCTTTTGTCTGATGATGGTGACAATGTTGAAACGTCCACACTAATAAATTATTTGGATTAGGTCTTATTTTCTTTTACCAGGTTAGAAAAAACGGAGAAGTGTCCACCTTTGTTTGCGGAGACAGTTAATAAATGACACTTAGTTCTAATATCTATTTTGACGTGAGAGGTAACCTTTATAATTCAATATCCTCTAGGAATAATTTGTCTATGATTCACAGTGTTGAAACCAACTGTTTTACCTCAGTGCTAGATTGGCTGGTTCTCTTGTAGCCAGTGCACTGTGGGTCTGCTGATCTCTCTGTTGATATAACTCTTAGATGTTTTCCATAACTCCTTCCCTCCCTCTCTGTGGATTAGAGCTTCCTTGTCAGCTGCCGTCTCTGTGTGAAATATTCTGACTAACATTTTTCTAAGGTAGCATTCCTTTTTTTTTACCATTTTGATAAGGCACAATTTGAATTATGGATTATAAACACAAGGTCTCTTCTTCTTTTTTCTTATCTCTGTGAAGTACAATGCATCTGCCTTTGTCATTAAGACTGGGAGCACTACTCAGTGGCAGGCCGACTTAGTTCCAAAAGAAATGGCCGCCTCTGACATGACGAACAGACGTCATGTGCAGCTGCTCCTAACATGGAGTACAAACGCTGCTCATCCTGTATCCCTGGATCAGGAGCCCTAATAGGGTACTATCAGCCGGGCCAGCTGAGCCCAGGTTTTTTAGTGAGCTTGTTACTGCTCCCCCTCCTCTTTTCATCCGGGCTTGGGACTGGCAAAGGCGGAGTTCCATAAACACAAGGTAATAAGACCAAATTAAGATAAATAAATAGTGTGTGGCGTTTCAGTAACAGTGCTGTTACTACTATTTATTTGGTCTTATTACCTTGTCTTTCACTATTTTCTTAGATTACTTTCTATTTAACCTCTCTGACTAATTCAACCAAATTTTAACACCTACCAAATGCTTTATTTTTATTTCTCCTGATGAAAAGATTTTTGTTGAAACATTAATAAAATAAAACTTTAACTGGCCGAAGTATAATTTATTTTAAAGAACTGTGAATGCCAGGCAACCTCTTTCTTCAAGATAATCATTATATGGTGTTTGATTTATTCTGTTTGATTCTCTACTGCTACATGATCAATACATATTGAGGTCTTCAGCCAATCAGCATGCAACTTTTGCAGCGTGCAACTTTTACAGCGTGCAACTTTTACAGCGTGCAACTTTTACAGCGTGCAACTTTTGCAGCGTGCAACTTTTACAGCGTGCAACTTTTACAGCGTGCAACTTTTACAGCGTGCAACTTTTTGCAGCATGCAACTATTGTTGCATAGATTTAAATGAAGTAGTATAACTAATATAAAAATGTGGGTTCAAATAGCAGAATTTCTCTTTTTTTTAAAATGTTGTTTACATTGAAAATGTGTTTATTTTTATTATTCTATTTATAAACACTTTAAAAAAATATATATATGTTTATTCCAGGCTTTTATTTCTGATATTATATACAGTTGAACATCTTTAATTCAACACCCCAAGGGATCAGAGCTTTCTGTTGAATTAAAGGAAGTGTTGAATTAAAGTTAATCAGATGATTAGCTAATCATCTAACTCGCAAAAAAAAAAAAAAATTTTAATAGCTTTGTAATATAAATTAACACCATTGTACTTTTTTATATTTAATTTTTTCATGATCAACTTTTAGTGTCAGGGAAAAAATGGCATTAATACCTATATTTTTGAAAAATAAATAATTATTTTAAAAATAAAACTACAACCTTTCAACATTATAAAATAATTATAAATAATATTTTAATTCAATTGAATAATATAGCAGTTGAAAAGTAAATAAATATTAAAAATAAAAAGAAAATTGACAGTAAGTTTCATGGCCTGCCTTATCCTCCTAAACAAGGCTTCTTCAACCTCTGGGAATTCCCCGTCACAATTACGCTTCAAGGTAGAGCTAAAATTAGATTTTATAAAAGCAGATTTTATGGCGAATTTGTTTTTATAAATTGTGTAAATGGTGGACTGTGGAATATTTCTCTCTCGGTAAACTTGACCATGTGATTTTCTCCATTGTATTTCTTCTATAACTTCTTGTTTTTTGCCACGTAAATAAGCTGGTCATACTGACCATGTTTTCGATCTTTTTTGGCAGAAATTGACATTCTGGCCATGCTCAATTATTTAAACTAACATGGAAATGAAATATTGAAATAAAATATTCTCATAATCATTGTGTGGTTTCATGATTTGTTTATTTAAAAAAGATAAAAAATTATAAATTTAAAAATAACTAAAATATTTTATGTTGAAAATGAAAAAGAAAATAATATTATTAATCTCAAAACACACGATGCCTAAATACTCTGTGTAAAAAACAACAACACTTGTGATATTCTCAGCAGCACTGCAAAGTAAAACTTAAACTAACCAGAAACCAAACGGGGCTCTGGCACATTTGTAAGTGCAAAGTCGAACTGCTTTTCACATGTGTAGACATGTGGTGCACTTACAGTAAAAGCAGTCGGCTACTTCTACCCACCATGATTACCATGGCCTGTACCACGTGTACTAGGGATAAGCAATATATATAAGCACGATCCTAAAGTTTACTTTTCGGAGATCGCCGCTTGCCTCTGTAATACCTTTTTAGCAGTAAAGCTTAGTATGTAAAACTTTAGTAAAACAAAAATTCACTGTCCGAATTTAAATTTCAAAATGGTCTAATTATCGGAAGTGTTGAATTATTGATAGGGTCTAATTACCGTTTGTTATTTGATAGGCCGGAGGTCGTGACATCGAAACATTGTTGAATTATTGTATTTTGGGGATTAATGACAATATACTGTATATTGATATATTTGGCCTTTTCATAACTTTATATCATTGGAATCTGACTCTTGATCTCCTTTTTATCTTATGGAAATGTTTTTATCTGTGCAATTACATTCACACAAGGGACTAAGTTTTATGTTGTGTTTATATAACCTAAGTTAAAATAATTCTGATATAAAACTTGGAGCTATAGGATTAGGATGTTATAACACATTGGTGATGTTGAGGTTGTTATAACGAGGTGTTCCGCTGTAATTTGATTATACATCAACACAGAGTTCTAATTGCCATGCTGTGTGATTGGTTAGTTCCACAGAGTGTGTGTGTGTGGGGCAGGTGTGATGTCCAAGAAGAAGCTGCGATGGCCCAAGCTGATAGGTATCAATTTGGTGGCCTTTGGGCTGGACCTATGCAGCAGCGCCGGCTTCACCTATATCCCTCCCCTCATGCTGAAAGCCGGCTTCCCCGACTGGGCCATGACTCTCACCCTTGGGATTGGCCCCATAGTCTCCTTAATTGTAGTTCCCCTCGTAGGCCGCTGGTCAGATACCTGCACCCACTGCCTGGGCCGTCGCCGCCCTTTCATTCTCGGCCTCTCCATAGTCATGCTGGCCTCGTTGCTCCTCATTCCCTTCAGCTGCGACCTGGGAGCCTCCCGCTGGGGACTGCTGACCTTGGGAGTGGTCTTGTTGGACTTCACCTCCCAGGCTCTCATGAATCCTTGCAAGGCCCTGGTGTCCGACATGATCCTATTCTCGGACTACCACCTTGAGGAGCTGGGTTTCACCATCTACTCCTGCATGCTGTCGCTGGGTGGCTGCTTCGGCTATCTGATCACCTCCCTCAACTGGGGCACCACGTGGTTCGGCCAGGTGATGGGCAGCCAGGAGAAGGCCATCTTTGTCTTCCTGGCCGTGCTCTTCTTCCTCTTCCTGGTCACCAACCTCACCATGGCCAAAGAGGTGCCCTACCGCCCCGTCCCCGTAGACGTGGAGCGGCCACGCGGAGACAACAACAACAACAGCAATAAGAAGGACTCCCTCACTCCCTGGGGGCCTCCACCTCCCTACTCCAAGCTGCCCCCCAAGAGGCTGCTGTTCCTGCGCTACCCACTGCAGTGCCACGCGCTGAGAGCCTGGAGAGAGGTGCGGGGTTTCTTCAGCATGCCCTCTCCTCTGTTTCGGCTCTTCCTGGCGACCATGGTGGCCTGGATGGGCATCATGTGCCATGACATGTTCTACACAGACTTCGTGGGACAGGTACGTGTCTTCTCAATGCCAACAACATGTTTCAACCAGATATTACTCCTGTAGCTAGCCCTGCTCTTCCATTTTAGGACTAGCATAACATGAATCAAAATGTAGAAATTTAATTTTCAATGTGTGATTATTAAATTACAAATTAACAAAAATACACTTAAGGAAGTTGTTACCTTTTAGCATGTATTTTGGAATTCAGACAATAACTCTGGAAGATATTACAGTGACTTTTATTGAAGACACACAAGATAACCAAGTGTGAACATCATTGCCTCTTTTAAAAAAATAGATGAACATGCGACATTAAAGACTTTCCACTTAAGTTTTGTCCATGAGTGTACATTAGTTTAAATGTTATGGAGGGTGGAAGCAGAGAAAAAAAGTTATTTTCAAAAATCGTC